CTGGGACATGGCAGGAGGCACACAGGTCCAGGATGTAGTTGATGGTGAGTTGGGGCAGGTTGCCGTCCACCACCACCAGTGGGGACTTGCTGATCTCACCCTCGAACTGTCGTACCTGCCAAAGTTGGGCAACTGATAAGCTCAAACAAATTACTGTACTGCACTTACGTTGAACAACAGCTTTTGTGATAATTGTTGATGTCACAGTGGATAAAATGATTATCAGAGAACCTGTTTGTGAACAGACTGGAAGTGGGTTCCACAGGCCAGAAAGGGAATTTGTGAAAGCACAGCACTATGAATTTTAAGCCCTTGGTGCAGATGGAGCCAGTATGGCCAGCAATGCTCTCGATTGGTTTCACTTCCCCAACTTAAAAATTATTTGCCCATTCACATCTAGGGATGCCCCAGGCACTTATCAGCCACCCTTAGGGCAGTATGCAATGTGCTTTATTCACGGAAATCCCTAAAAATACATTTAAGAAAGTGCTATACATGGCTGCACTTGATATATTATATGCTCAATTATTTGTGTGGGTGAATCTTAGTGTGCATGTTTTTGCTGCCATATTAATCTATGTTTGCAGGCTTGCTGTTTTCACTTTTAAGTATGAGGGTTGACCATCAACACCTGTATGGAGGCAACCATAAAATATATAATTGCAGCAGGGAGGAACAACTCACATGGGTAGGAGTGATGTAGTCGTGGATGGTCATGTCACCCACGCCGAAAAGCGCTTCACCCAGTTGGTCGAGTACCACACAGTACACTGCTGTTGATGCATCCTTCACTACCTTCAGTCCCCGCCTCTCCTGTACAATGAATATCATGAATGGGTTACTGCACGGTATTTTGTCAATTCCAATTGTACACTCGGAACCATAATCTCTAGCCCACCTGGGTCGGTGCTGTAGGTTAGTAGAGCGTCCTTTCTGGACGGGGGCCCACTAACTATCACGGGGCAACACACGCACGAACACACAGTCCTTATGAACCATACGAAGCTTCGCTCTGAGTGTATCATATTTTTAATCATCTTGCTGTATATAATGCTAAGCAGTCATAGTACTGCTATATAGATGACATTATGTATAAGTATTGTATATGGCATTTTATATTCTCCATTATCTTCATTATATATGAACACGAAGAAAAATTACCATAGGTTGTAGTTACGAAATTATGAATGGAAATAAACACTTCCAAACCACCCAGTGAGTCCACACAACGTTTATAGTGTGTGTGTGTGTGTGTGTGTGTGTGTGTGTCAAATACAATTGTATTTGTATTTTAATTGTATTTAAATACATTTTCAATGTATTTGTAATTGTATTTTGGCACCGAGAAGAAAAAGTATTTTGTATTTGTATTTCGACACTCGTTAGTGTTACAGGCAGTAAGCTAGTTTAAGGCTACTGCCTTTTGCCTCTTCCATAAACAAAGGAAATATTGATATTTTGTATTGCTACTTACAGACAATTTGTGAGGACGAAAACACTTGAATTTGTTTTATTTTTGTAATTTTGTTTATTTTTAATACTGCTATTGTTATTTGCAAGCAGTAACGTTGAACATTCTGGTAATTTTTACACTCCTGAGCGAGCTAAGTTGAGCCCAGAAATCTTCCGAGCATTAATGATGATAAAATGTAATTCTGATATGTGGGTATTGGGTTTGTATTTTTGAACTTAGAAATAAAAGTATTTGTATTTGTATTTTTGCATCATAATGTCACAAGTATTTGTATTTGACCGCTAAAAATCAGTATTTGATCCAACCCTGGTGTGTGTGTGTGTGTGTGTGTGTGTGTGGCATCAGGCGTCATCCTTAGTAATGAAGGTTAATATATAATTAGTTCACATCTGAGACAGTTCAGATATAAGTTGGTCTGAGCATAGTGCCAGACCACGATGCTTCCACCACACCCCATCTATATATTTTATTTTCCCTTCATTCGCGTAACTATATGAAAAATCGTGTTTAATTTAACCACATATTTCAAAAACCTTAAATTACATGTGGATCAGTCGCTCCTCATTTGGCACACTTATAATGTAATACTTTGACCATCCCACCTGGGCACATGGAGGCCCACGGTAACTCTCACGGGGCAACATACGCACGAACACACACGTTATGATATGAACCCTTCCAGGCTTCACTATCATAATCTTATTATGTTCATCGTGCTCTGTATCTTGGTAAATAGTCATAGTATCAATACATGGAGGAAAATCTATATTAATATACTGTAATATTGCATTTTAGTGCAAACCGTAAAAAATCTCGTTTAACCATTGGACGTGAGGGAAAGCACCACACACTGGAATTACGAAATGAAGAACCGAAGCACATAGGAATGACCGACCTGACGTCGTGTGTAGGGAGGCCTGTCATATCAGTGTGGACACGGTTGCTCAAAGGGTAAGTCGTATAATTCATCCTTGCATTTGTTGAGAATATATATATATATATATATATATATATATATATATATATATATATATATATATATATATTTATATATATATATATATATATATATATATATATATATATATATATATATATTTTATATATGTATATATATATATATATATATATATATATATATATATATATATATATATATATATATATATATATATATATATATATTTTATATATATATATATTTTATATATATATTTTATATATATATATATATTTTATATATATATTTATATATATATATATATATATATATATATATATATATATATATATATATATATATATATATATATATATATATATATATATATATATACCAATAGGTCTGTATGTAATGTTGTGCACGCGCTAAAATGACCTAGTATATTTTACTAATGTCTCATTGTCCATGGGTTTTCTTACAGTTTGGCTGTGAGTTTTCTATTTTGTCTACCTGCCAGTTCAACAGGACTGCTAACCATCCTCCCAGCAACTCATCCTGTATCATCGCACCGGTGACTGGTGAGTAGAACGGATTCCCTAAATATACAGGCTGTTACATAAATACCATTCATTATGTAAGGGGGTGTTCCTGAGACATGAGAATATAATATAAAACATAATGCCTCGTACTGAGAACATGTGACAGACGTAATGAGGGGAAACAAGCATTAGCTGACGAATTAAGGGTTACCCACCAATGGCCCCATTAATAACATTTTGTGGATATGTAACATGTGTTAACACTATCTGAGACTGGACACATTATTTAATAATCATCATGTTGCCTATTCCACTGATAATGACTGTTACATCAATAAGGCTGTAAAGTAACAGTTTGACAACACTGTCATGTTTCGCTGTCATCCTTCACCCGCATGATGATGGTTACTCCATATCCTATAATATGTTGATTTTTCATTAATGAATGTATACAAAAGACCCCATGCACTAATGCCTTATTCTTTTATTTTCACAGTTATGGAGGTTCAGCCACAACGTCATGTGCGGCCATCTCGGACGAGAGCTAATCGACCTGAGGTGATAACGAGTCGCAGCTGGATTATTGGATATCACGAGGCAGGGAAGGGGATACGGGAGATTAGTCACCTTCTTGGTATCTCCAGGGATACAGTTAGGCTTTGGGTGAGAAGATATGAGGAGGAGGGTCACGTGCTCACCAAGCCCCGACCAGGAAGACCAAGAGTCACCACACCAGCGGCAGATCAACAGATTCAAAGGGCAGCAGAGAGAGCACCACTCTCAACTGCCGTGCGTATAACGAGGGAAACAGGAGCTCAATGTCACCCGATAACTACCAGGAGGCGAATACGGGAGACTGGCCGACAATGTTTCATCCCAGCACGTAAGGAAACCTTAACAGAGGCACACAGAGAAGCACGTAAAAGGTTTGCGGAGGCGTATGCGGGAGTCGATTTTTGGAGGTCCGTCATTTTCACCAATGAAAAATGTTTCTCATCTGTCGCAGCAGTCGGTCGCCAGTGTTGGCGATTACGTAATGCAAGATATGCTCGAAGACACATCCATGAGACATCGACAAGTGGTCGTGTGACAACCTCCATGCATGGATGGATGTGGTGGGGAGGTGCTGGTGAACTGACGGACATTGAGGGACTGTAATGGCCCCTGTTTCATCAACAGAAAGATTATATAAATGGGTTAATAATTGCATTTGCTTTATATACTAATTCACCCCCTGTAACTTTCCACTGGCTATGATTTATCATGCTCTTATCACGTGATTGGTAGCCTCCTTGGGGTTCGACCACTGACTGCATGGGTCAGCTCGGATAAGCCAGCACCCACTGGCAGTCCCACTCATAATCTCACATCGAAAGGACGTGATTGAACGGTCTATTTACATAGCCGCCGTCCTCTCTCTTCACACTTTTGAATAGTGGAAGTTACGGCTGATTTACACTCAGGAATTATATAAACGATAGTTTTTCAATAAAAGAAGAAACAGACAATTGGGTTTCGCTACTCTTACCCAATATAATATAAATGTACCAGCCTGGTTAACTTCGATAGAACCTATAATTAACCAGCTAGAACATTGGTGGCAGCTAGTGTGGTGACGGATACGACATTCCGGTCTACATACTAAGGCGTCAGTGTTTTGCGAAACAAGAAAAAAAAATCAGTGACATGTTACATGAAGTATCCGAGTGTATTGATATATCCCATAGTGAGACGATTGTAGTTGAGTGTTTCTCATTCCGTCTCCCATAGTGGTGTACAGAATTATTTACAATAACCGATACTGAGTTATTGTTGACTTATTACCATACGGCTAGTTAGTGATACCCCTGTTTCGCGACAAGTGGGGGCGGTCAGGAAAGAGCATCGTCAGCATTGCCAACCTGTGCCCACCGCTTGCAGTGTTGCAAACATACCCAAAAGCATTCAGGGTTTACTAACAAGAGACCTTTCACAAGTGTCTGGACGACTGTTGTGGCTTTGTGATCGTGAATGCAGTACTTCCGGTGCACCAGAGAGTCCTTTATATACAGGGCTTCAGAAGGTTTGGGCACGCAGAAGCGGCGACATCGTATCAGCGAGCAGAGGACCTGATTCTTCACCGTCAGCACTTTGACATACTGTGGAACGTACTCCCCTGTAGTGAAGTGGATTCACCCGGCGTTCGTAATTGCAGCGCGTCTGGTCGTTGCTAGGCGACGACACTCAAGAGGAGTGCACGCCGTTCGACCTTGAGAGGGTGGCAACACTCACCCACACCACACCCTACCTCCGCCTACAGCTGTCCAAGCGGGAGGGCCCGAGGTACCCACCCACCCACCACCTGAGACCATCTGTGGCAGGCGGATCGCGTTTTCTCTGCAGACACCTAACTCCTGTATAAGGTATTTAAAGATTCACATACTTTATGCACACATTTACATAGTCAACAGCATGTCTTCACACTGATAGGACATCGGGTAGGCTATGTCATTGTTGTAAGTGTCTTGCTTATTTTAATACGCACTGACTTTATATGTTTTTCAGTGTTTAATACCTGTTCCTGTAAATGAGAGGCAAGTGTGTTGTTCTTACTGTAAATCATTGTGTGACCCATTTGACACTTCATGGATAAATTTCCAAAGTTGTGGTCTGAGGACATTACTGATTTAGCAAAGCTTTTTGCTGACGATTCACATATAGATGATAAACGTCACGTTTCTACTGCAGAGGTTAAATTAGCGGTGAAGCCCGAAGCACAGTTAGACGATTCTGTGAAGAGTAGTGAAGAGTTAATTGAGGAGTCATTTGACGATTTAAAGCGTCGTACCTTACGATCGGGGAATCAATATAGTACCTCGCCTGGGCATCCACAGGTAGTTCCTACTCCTTTTCTGGGTGACAGTGTGTCGGATAACTTAGCATTACCCCGCCCATTAACTGAGCCTTCTGTTAGAAGTAAACGTAGTGGCTTGCCTACATCTAACGCTAACATGCCTTCTTCTAACGCTCCTATGTCGCCTAACCCAGAGAATGTGTTTCACGTGATACCATGTGCTGACCAGGTCTGATTTTACTGGTCAGGATGATTATAGAATCACACAGTTCATCCGTGCATGTGAGGACGCAATGCTCAACGTGAAAATTACCAATGATTACGATAAAAAGGCGTTTGTGTGTTCCCACATCCCGCAGGGTTCGTTTGCTAGTACGCACCTGAATGAGTATGGTTTGACGGACCCCGACTATGAAAAGTTCAAGTGCACTCTCATTGGTATTTTCGAGTGCGGGTCCCACTTGGGCCACCTGCAGTGGGTATTTCAATGGCTGGATCGTCTGGCTCCGGTGGTTCACGCGGAATCACCGATGGGGGCTGTTTCAATTGCCGGAGATGTACGACAAGACATGGAAGCGACCTTCCGGGATTCGCGATGGTACGACGAAGATGGCAAGATTTCACCGGAAAATGTGAAAACATTGATAGAGTTGATTAGTTTCTTGGTGGCGGTTCGTCGTCCCATCTATGGCCGGGCCCAGGAGGTAAAGTTTGTCCCGCCTACTGTTTTGGTGGACTACGCTAACAAGCTTTCTCCGAAGATGACAGGACCTCTAATGGCACGTACTTCCCAGACTATGGCGCCTCCCCCGGTTGCGCAAATGCAGCCGTTGGCTCTGATCGCACCTCAACACCGGAGTTACAAGTATCAACGTTCTTTGAGGTGTACCCATTGTAATAAGAGGGGCCATACGATCGATGATTGTTATCAGCTCCAGGGTGGTGTTAAAGTACCGGAGACCACCCATCCCCCCACAGGCGCTAAGCAGAAACAGGGAGAGCCAAGGACGTACACGGAGGCGGTTAAGACTACGTCTCCACCTGGCCAAAAATCAGGATCGTGGTGTGCATTCCACCGATCAGCATCTCACAGCACAGATGAGTGCGACATAATGATAAAGGCCAGGAGCGTGGACTCTGGTGTACCCCCGGTAAAACAGCAGCGTAAAGCGCGTCGTTACCAGGATAAGAAGTCGGGGGAAGGCCAGCACCTGTCAAAAAACGAGGAAGGGTAGGTACATTGGTGCCTACTTCCCACAACACTTCTATGGCAGCCTCATTAGTAGCGGCGCTAAGTAAAGTGGAAGTGTTGTCCGTACCGGTGAGAGTGGATGATATCAGATTGGCTCTGGAAATTGATACGGGTGCATGCGCAAATGTTTTGGCCTTGACATCCTATCAAGGAGTTACAACGTATATTCCCTCACCGTGATTTCCTATGGAGACCTACTGACGCCGATCTCGAGGGAGTTTCCGGCATGCAGCTGAGTATTGAAGGAATGGTGACGTTACCACTTAGACTTTCAAGACGTGGTACTCCCTTCTATGCGCACATTTATGTGGTCCAGCAATTTAATTTGCCAGCTGACGGATTAATTGGTCTCCCAACACTCAGAACGAATAGTATTGATGTTCGTCCACGTAATAATGCTAATACGTTTAAAGGTGTTTCCTACAACGCTATGCGTCATTCTGCACCATTGTTCTCCGCAAGGTCGAAAGTGTTGTCCACCATTCCCACACAGAGGAAGGCGGATAATGTGTCAAAGCGAGCCCCAGACCTCACACCCTCACTTTCCCAGCGTGATTATAGCAGCAAGAGTTGGAAGATTGTACCTGCAATTTTGAAGAGTACTCTCCACTATCAGAATGAGGAATTCACATGTATACGGGGACTGATGTTGTATGTCTCCCGGAAACGTGCAAGGTAAAGGGTTTGCCGTGTGAATCGACGTTAAGTACGATACGACCTGGTGGTTTGACAGACGTTCTAGTTTTGAATAGAACAGGTGTTCAGAGGATATTGAAGAAAGGGTGTTATTTGTATGATTTTCTGGTATATCATAACAATGTCGAATTACAGCCTACACAATTCCCAATTGGTAGCATTGTACCTCAATCCCAACAGACTAGGCAAGAGAGGGTCGGATGTCCATATCTGGAGCTGGCGGAGGCCTGCCCCACTAGAAGTGACAACTCAAGGTTGAAGAAGCTGCAACTCCAGAAAACTGTGAAGGCGAAGTTGTTCGGAGTGAGAGTTGCGAACTCTTGGAACAACTTGCCAGAGAGTGTTGTGACGGTACCGAGTGTTAGCTGTTTCAAGACTAGACTTGACCAGCATTGGAGCAGGTTCAGATACATTCTGGAGCCAGTGCATGCCCAGTACTTGCCAACAGTGCGTAACAGAGACGTGACCGACCGCCCAAGCGGCTAACGAGCCTATCAGTGGCGAAGAGGATAAAAGTGAAAATATGGCTACATCTCTAGTGGAGGGTCACTTTCATGGTCACAAAAGACTCTGATATTTCTTGATACCTCATAATGTGTTCACAGATTTGAAATTGAGAGAGAACACAATTATAATGTTTTCCATTATAGATGGAGTACAGATGAAGCATTCAAGATCCCTTGTGAGTGATGTTGAAAGCTTCAACTGTGTTTACCGTCAGTAATATTGGCAAATAAGTCCATGTAAAGTCTACTGTAAGAAATGACGTATCATGACATCGTCCATAGGGATACCCCGAGTCTCCAAATTGCTCTGAAATTAGATCATTTTGATTCTCAATCATCAGAGGATCTGATGTTTGTATGGAAATTGTTATCAGTTTTGCATTTTAGAAAGTAATTAATATTGCCGAAGGCATATGTCAGCCTTCTTATCTTCAAGATCTAATGGCTAGTTCGCAGTGTACCTCCGTTCTAAGCTCCGCCCACAATGTACTGCCATTCTGAATACTTGACATCAGTTTAATTCTTGCCTTTGAGATCACGGACACTGTTTAGTTTGAAAAGATAATTTGGGGAAGTTAAAATAAGCTTGTAGCCTAATTTTCATAAAATTATGTACCCAGTAAAGGAGTCTGATGATTATATCTGTGTAAGTTCCGACTTGTAACTCGGGGTGTGAGAGGCTCGACGAGCGGGCCGGCAAACTCGCTCTGAACTCGCACTTACACCCAGACTCTCCTCTGTGAAACAGGCATGTTTAATACTCCGTGCCCACCCAGTCCTATTAAGTGATTTGACGTAATTGTGTGTTGTTTGAATATGCAAGTGATCCAGTAATGTAACTTTGATGTGTTTTAAGTGAAGTGTTCTTGTGCCTTCAGCTTTTAAAACGCCTTCAGCTTTTAAAACGTTGACATTCGTGTCAACCACACTCATTTACACCCACTCTCCTCTGTGAAACAGGTGGTTGTTGTAAGCCAGGATGACCTCCACTACTAGCATGGAGGTTGATGAAGACCACTGAGATTGGATAGCGTCGTATAACCCGGATGTGTTGAGCTAAACCATCAGTTCACCGCCAGCAGTTAAGAGGAGGTAGCTAGACTGTGTTCGCTGTCCACCCGTGATCTCACATTGAGGAGTAAACCCGGCCAGCTCACACAGCATTGTTTTGAATGAGTCCACCACTAAGTGGAGTTACGTATTGGCTGTTTTATTCATCGGAGTATCAATGTATGTAATCTTCTCAGTTGTATGGGTATTTGGAGTCAACAAGAGTATGATGGTCGCCACCTTACTTTTTGGCGAATGTAGCAAAGTAGCGTAGAGAAGCAACTGGTCCTGGTGCTGTTAATGTATTAGTGTTGGTGCTATTACCAGGGTCGTGTTACGATTTACGAGCTAAGGTTCTCAGGTAACTTGTGTTGATGGTGCTGAAACGTGCTATATGTAAGATTATAGTGTCGTGTGTCTTGTTAAAGGCACACCAAGTAATGAAGTAAGTTGGAAAATGTACCTAGTTGAAAGTACAAGATGAGTAGAGCCAGGGAGTTCATCCTTGTAGTTGTGTGTTACTGAAAGTTGTCGCAAGTCTAGCTTCATTTTAATAAACCATTTTTATTGTATGTTAGGGGTATCATTATCCTGCAGTATTTCCCCTCATTTTTCCCCACAACTTGGTACCAGAATTACAGTATACCCCGTGTCCTAACCCTCGGACCATGCTACCACAGGTCAGAGGTTATGGAGTAACTATATGAAGTAAAATAACCAAGACAGTGGGACAGAAAAGAACTTAAGGAAAAATAGAAAAAGACAAATTCCCCTAGGATAAATAAAAAAAAAAATATTTGCAAACTCCCCTATAAAATGGTGACAGCGAAACTCTCAACCTTACATCACGAAGTAAATAAGGTAAACGTAATAGAAGTTTATAAGCACCTTAAAGGTCATTAATCATAAAGCGTTCATACCTGGAGCTAGCAGATGTCTGCCTCAATAGAGTTCAGTCTCAATTTAACGAAGCCACAAGTACAGAGAATTGTCAGAGCTAACGTCTTTGGAGTACTATTTGTAAATTTTTGGAATAACTTGCCACAGAATGTTGCGATGACACCAAGTATGAGCTTATTTATGACCAGACTTGAACAACAGTGGCGCATGTTCAGGTAAAGTCAAGAGCCCGCGCAGGCCCAGTGCCTGCCAACAGTGCCTCAGAGAAATGATCCAAATGGCTAGCGAGGAGGATAAAATTTATGAAAGTTACCCATGACTTTCAACATAGAACACAAGTAATAACATTCTACACAGAAAACGTATCTACAAAAGTAAGGTATAACGTGTAAAAAAAGAATCTTAACCTAGGTAGTATTGCCAACTGTTACGAGTTGGGGATTTAGAATATAGTTATACGTCTACCCAGATCCCAACAGGTAACAAAAAAAAACAAAAACAAAGACAATCGGACTATAAAAGGGTAGACAAAGGATGCGAGTTTTCGTTGTGTATAATAAAGTACCATAAATTCCTTAACAAAATATTCAGCTTATAAATTACCCTTAACCAAACTTAACCTAAACATTAACAGTATATACATATTAATACAACATAAAACATTTTGAAGCAAGTGGACGTGGGGGAGGCAATACAAGATACAAGTACTTAAGTGAGGAGCTGAGATGGCTGACGAGTAAGGCTGAGTATTGTAGAAGACGGTAGGTAGTCACTGTCCGTAGGTTTAGAGGATAGATGATCCTGTGGTCACTTCCCAGAGCCAAGTGCTCTCTCCTCGAATTGGAGCTCAAAAAGAAGACTTGGAGGAAGTGACGCAACAACCAGGATATGGAGAAGGGAAACCCCAGAGTGTTAACTAAGACGAGTCATACTCGTGTCTCGTCCCTAGATGGCGTTGCTCGTGGTGCTGGGTAGGTAGATCAAGACAATAGATGGCGTGGTTCGTAGTGCTGGGTGGAGGGGTTCGTAACACCAACACAAATAATTCTTGAAATAGTTACAATTTAGTACTTGCCAAGAAAAAGTAAAAAAAAAAAAAAAGATGCAACAGACTGCCCAAGCGGTTAACAGGCCAATTAGTGGCGAAGAGGATAAACAAGGATTCTATATTCTAGTTTAGGAGGATAACATACTGTAATGGGCAAACGCATTCACCCCCGTCTGCGGCGACACGAAGCGGCTGCTAAGTATAAACAATGGTGGGCAGAGATTAAAGGGAGGGAGAAGCACATTTCGATGAATGCATATTTTTTATTGTTTTTGTTTTGCACATTTTACAATCGAAAATGGAATACAACTACTGCGCATAGAAATTTCCAACAACACTAAAAGGAACAGAAACCTGTCTTTCTTCAGATTTCCAAAGGAGCCAAGGAGGAGTCGTAAACTTAATTCTGTCAATGTTGACTGTTCATTAGTTTTTATGAACTCTTTATTTAATGCTATTAGTATTGATAATGATCCACTCTTCACAGTGTCAATCAGTAACCACTAGGTAAATAAGGTATATAATCCGAATTTCCTTTGGCGCCAGTTCAATGGGCAGCATCCCCTTGTAAATGTCTAGATCGCCACTGGAAATTACGTAACCTAAACGTAGGACCTTCCTGGAAATAAACATCTGATAGCTTTGTTGTCTGTCTCGGATAAAATTGCCTTACTGTTTACATTACTTTTTTACTTTTAGCCTCTTCATCACTGATCGGCTCGTTAGCCGCTTGGGCGATCTGTCACGTCTCTGTTACGCACTGTTGGCAAGTACTGGGCATGCACCGGCTCCTAAATGTACCTGAACCTGCTCCAGTGTTGGTCAAGTCTGGTCTTGAAAGAGCCCACACTCGGTGCCATCACAACACTTTCTGGTAGATTGTTCCAAGAGTTCATAACTCTCACTCCGAAAATGTTTGCCCTCACAGTTTTCTAGACCTGCGGCTTCTTAAATCTTGAGCTGTGACCCCTTGTGGGGCGAGCGTCCGCCAGCTCCAAGTAAGGACATTCGACTGAGTAGTGCCCATTGAGATGCTTATACACCTCAGTTAGGTCGCCCCCTTGCCCGTCTGTAGTATAAGCTAGGCAAGTTCAGGCGCTCCAATCTCTTAGGGTAGTCGAGGTGCCGAATTGCAGGCACCAGTCTGGTGGCCCTCCTTTGAACATTTTCAAGCAACTGACAGTCCCTAGCATATCTCGGGGACCAGACGGGGTGACAGTACTCCAGATGAGAAAGCACTTCACTCTTGGAGATCGTCTAGATATCTGAACAACCTTCTTATAAGACCCAATAATTTATTTGCCTGATTTACCTTCTCGCAATGGCCCGAGAACTTCAGCTCATTGTCAACATACACACCTAGGTCCTTCTCACATTCAGTCTCAAATAGTGCAGTTTCTTCATCCCGTTGGGAAATATGATACGCCTCCTTACCGTTGGTACGCGCCAGGTGCATCCTCTTACACTTCGTGACATTGAATCTCAGCAGCCATTTATTCGACCATTCTTGGAGCTCACAGAGATCCTTTCTGCAGCTCTTCACAATCCGCTTGGTTCTTGATTTCCTGAAATAACTTGGCGTCATCGGCAAACATTTGTATGGAGAAGTGTACAACGTCAGGCATGTCATTTATGAAACAAACAAACAACAGCGGGCCCAATACACAGCCCTGTGGTACCCCACCTGTGACAGGTACGGATGATGATTTCCTGCCATTAATCACCATACACTGCTTGCGGTCACGTAGAAAGTCTTCTATCCACGCTAGGACATTTCCCCGAATTCCGTACCCTTCCAGTTTGATTTTCAGCCTTTCATGGGGTGCACTGTCGAAAGCCTTGGCAAAATCTAGGTATATATTGTTGATATTACCACCCCGTTCCAGAATATGGGTCCAAATATCCAATACCTTGAGTATGGCTTCATTTTGCACTACCTCAAGGCTGTTGAGTTGTTTAGGCGGAATAGTCACAAGATGGAGAGCATGATAGTCAACTACAGAACGAATGAAGTGAAGATAGAAAGTACGAGCATAGGTGATGTTAATTCCATAGCCCTTGCCAACAATGGTTCTGAGGGGTTTAATGCGCTGCATTAGTTTGGCACGAAGGTTGCTGACAAAGTTTGCATCATTCACACAAATTCCAAAATATTTATAGGAGCTACATAGTTCACGGAGGTGTTAGTATGGATGGGATGGTGGTCACTGTGGATACGATCGATGCTGTGTATCCTGATCGGAGTTGGAGAAGATTCTTGTGTTGTTGAGAAGATGATCCTATGTCCTGTGGGATGGACATTCCCTGTGTATAAAATTGAGTAGCTGGTCCCCCCACGATTGGAAAAGTTCTCGTTCTCGTTATGAGTACTGAAACTAGGACGCCAAATAAGCCACTGTCTTTGCGGAGTGAGGCTATGCCGCTGAAATCAGTTACCGGAGAGGAGGTACAATCGATATGGTCAATACGAGTAACTCTAGGCAGTTAGTACTCTTGAAACAATCTGCCAGATAGTGTTGTGACGGCACCGAGTGTGAGCTCTTTCAAGGCGAGACTTAACGAACACTGGAGCAGGTTCAGATACATTCAGGAGCCAGTTCATACCCAGTATTTGCCAACATGTGTAACAGAGACGTGCCCGACCGCCCAAGCGGCTAATGAGCCGATCAGTGGCGAAGAGGATAAAAGTAAATGTATACACCCACGGTTTACGTACACCTGCATGGTCTATACTCGTTTTTAAGTGTATGAGTATATCTGCATAGTCTATATTCATATGTATTCAACTGTAAACCTGTATGACAATTTCACTGAATAAATAATAATAACAATAATAATAATAGTATTATTATTATTATTATTCAAACTTCCCATAATGTAGCCTAATCTTAAAGACGTCAGTTTTCAATTTCCAACAATACGTTGACAGTTGTGTAGTTTTGAAGCTGTACTGTAGTTAAAAAAAAAGAAGAAAACCCTTTTGTCATCAATACAATAGTGAGCACAAAAAAAAGTGTGAAAAAAGTAGTCACTTCTGTTACCAACTTGTAAAACCAATGTTCATTAAAATGATAGCGTGTTCAAAACAACTACAGTAAATTGCATTGGTAAACTGCCTATGATATATATATATATATTTATTCAATTCAACAGTTTATTCCAAATTATAGGAAACTGGGTCCTAGTGCTGTCACTAGGTAGTATATAATTTCGGGCGGTGCTGAAACTTAGCTCGGTTGCAAGTGAGAAGTGGTTTGAAGAAGCTCAGGGAGCTGTTGCCTTTATTAACAGCAAGAGAACTTTTTCTCGTGTGAAAGGAAAGTAAGATAAGATCCCAACAGGCGACCGTGTGGCATGGAGAGCTGCCATCAGGTAAAAGCAGTAAACCCGCTTAACCGTGGGAAATGCACGGTAAACAGCGGCGCTGGTGGTAGTGATAATTTCGGGAGGCTTTATTACATAGTTCCAGATACTGTATTGGCAATTCACAAGTGGTTGGCGTTCTAAAGCCCTACATTATAATGCTGTCGAGTTGACCTCAACACAATTTTACCACGAAAAAAATGAAAATTAAATAAAAGGAAAACCATCGATTTCCGGAAAATCGTTTAGAATGATCCTATG